ACTCCACTATACTGCTATACAAGAACAATGCTATTTGTTATTTACATAGATCATCAGTGCGGATGGACTTATTTCCTTGGATGTACAGCTTTAGCCTCAGAATTTAAGTACAACATAATGTATTACATTTTATATCATTATATTAAATATGAAACATTATATTTAAAACCCCTTTTACATGAATCTCATTTCGAAGCGAGTCAGCTGGAAACATTAAAGAGACAGTGGCTAATGTTAACTTAATTGAAAAATCTGCCAGCAAAAGTTGGCAGCGAGCAAAACTGATGGTCATCAGGCATGAAATGAGAAGCCTGGTTTTGTTTACATCTCTCCAAAATCAGGGACCCATTGTTTAAAAAAAATAACTGAGAATTTTGAGTGCTAAATCTGACACAGTCACCATTGTAAATGCTGTGCGAGAATGGAAAAGCTTGACAGACCTAGCAACAGTAACTAAAGGGAGGTCAACAACTGGAGCAGTGAATTGAAGTGATTGCCTTGCTGGTAGACATTGGCTTACATATACGATCAACAGCGGGCAAAAACAGCAGCTTCCAGATTTATCTCACTGTGCCAATATTCAAACAAACGCTATGTCACTTCCACTTTTCTACTCATAGTATTTTCGGTTGATGCAAACGTCACAAGCATTAGCTGCACATTGACACGCAGAGGCTCATGCCATGCATTCACATTCGATCAGAGAATGCAAAGCCTTGATTATGCAGTGACTGATTGCAACATTGGGTTGGGGAGTGTTAAGTGGTTGTATTTCGTAGAACGCAGTTGTGTTTATCAGGGCAGGATCCCAATGAAGGGAGTCGAGTGGCAAGAAGAAGAGGAGGGGAGAGACAGAGAGAGAGAAATTACAGGGGCAGAGAAAGGATAAGAGAGAAGGCATTATTGGAAGAAAGAATGTAGTGAAATAGAGAGGGGTGGTAGAAAGTGAGAGGAGAGAGGGTGGGAGGGAGGAGAAGTGAGGGGAGAGAGCTAATCCTGCCATGATATCTTTAATCCTGCATTAAAGGGTTTGTCTGAAACTTCAATACTCTGTCAACTCACTGTGAAAGAAACCCGCTGAGAGAGAGGTTAAGGAGGAAGGAGAGACAGAGAAAAATAAAGGGAGAGAATGAAAGAAAGAATGCAAGCAAGAAAGAAAGGAAGAAAGAAAGAGGAAGTAGAGCCAGGGCGAGTAAGAACTAGACAGAGACGAGAAAGAAGAGCGGAATAATGAAAGAAGGGGAAGGGGAAGGAGAGGTGCAGAGAGAGATACAGAACCTCAAGGAAACCAGAGAGCTTATGTTTTTTTTTTGTTTTTTTTTTTAAAGTTCAGATGTACTCTTTTAGGGTTTAAAATTAGCTTTGATTGTAAAGCTGCACTCTAAGTACAGAGAGCTTTCCAGTGGATTAAAACTTTCCAGGGCTGTAAATATTGCCCATTACTTTTCTTTTTTGGGGAGGAAAGGGGGGCAGAAAAAGGAATGTTTCTCAAGAACACCATTCCTAAAGTGAGCTAAAAAAGTGTGGCGTTCAAGTAAGCCATCGTGACCAGAGTTCAGAGGCAGGACCAAGTCATTGTTTTGCAATTCACAAGTCTCAAGCCTTTCCCAAGTCAAGGCAGACAAGTCTCAAGTCCTAAACAAGTCATAAAGCACTTTCACAAAACATGAAGCCATTTTAACAACAGAGTAATAAAATATTACATTCATGCCACTCATGAATGCATTATAAAATTTGTGTTTATGTGCTAGAACAAGTTGGTTCACAAAACAAGTGCGACCTAACTCAATCATAAAAAAAGTAGTGTTGACATATATAGTAAGCATATATATAAAAATAGTATATAGCTCAATTAACCACCACAACATAGAACTGGGCGAAATCAAATCTCAACTTTTTTTTCAGTGCTATGGATGATTCTCCATCTTAATTTATTTTTCTTTTCTCTCTACATGAATTCAAGACACAACATTATTCAAATTAATTTTACAGTTTATCTTATGTTAGTGACACTGGATTATTAGGCAGCTAAAGTTAGCTGCTTTTTAGTTGCGGGTTTTGGAATTGGGACGGGAGCTAGCATCAGAGTCGCTCCCATTCCACTGCAAGCTTTTGCCTCTTTCCTGTGCATGTGCATTCATGTTTTTGTGTCTGTGTGTGTGTGTGTGTGTGTGTGTGCCAGAAGAAATTAGTTTTTGGTTACCATGGATACAAAAACCCAGCAGTGTGGCACATTGGTTCATGTCATGTCAGTGAAGCTGCCTTTGTACTTCGTACCATTAACTAATGATCCCGTTATCAGACTGTGATTAAGGAGAAACATTTCAAAAAAAAAAAAAGTTTCTCCTAAACTGTCCTAAACTGTGAGATTTGTGGGTCGCTTCACTTTATCTCATTTTGCATATTTTTTCTAGAAGGTTTTTCTCCACTGGTCACTTGTCATTTTGGCAGGAGAAGGTTATAAGTAGGATACGAGTAAGAGATCAGCTGAGACATCAATTTAAAATGCTGCTCCCTAATTAGTTACTAAAGGCATCTTCACTCCGTCAGCCAGTCCTCCTCCTCACACTTCCTTCTTTTTTAAAATTTAAAATCTCTTTCATTTCTCTTTTCATTAATTTAGAGTTTATGCCTTAATCGTTCAAAGCCCAGCCTCAGCCTCATTTTTAACCGCAGGACGTTTGCAGAAATCACAGTTAATGTTAGATTTTAAAATGAACCTGCTGTTCACAGAGTTACCTCTTCACCCTCACTCGTCAGTTATCTAAATCAAGACACACAAAAATAAAACACAGCTTAGGATTCAGTCTTGAACAGAAACACCCTGGTTCTTAGCTCACTTTCAAACATCCCAAAGCAGCAATTTAATCCTTCATTGCGGGGCTCGCTCCCATGAAAACACTGCATCTAAGAGCTGACACTGCTGCCATGCTATGACCAGGATCCAACAGTCCTAGAAACCAACCAGCACCGGGTTAAATACTTGAAATAAGTCAGAGTATGAGTCAGGAGATTTTTAGTTTTTGGAGTTCAGCTCTTGGCTTTTACTATTTTTGGGAACGAAATTGATGTGTTTATTAAACTGCAGTGAACAAAACCAAGTGCTGCTTGAATCTGACAATATTCAAAGAACGCTTTTGATCCCTTCTCATACTAGTAACACAGACACACGCACGCACGCACGCACGCACACACAGACAAATTTAGACACACCTTAATATGCTGTCTTACAACCTACCACCCAATTGCGTGGTTTGGTTGCTATGGACACAAACTGAATGAAAGTGCAGCAACCATAATCATGTAGCAGTTATTCTTGTGCTTTAAACCCCCAGGTTAAGAAACGTTTTTTTCTATGCCTGCGCTTCAGTTACAACCTCCATTAAATGCATTATCCATTCTATTATTAAATATTAAATCCATTAAATGACAATTAAAAGAACAAAACACAAATTGCAAACCATAAAAAACATTTATATACTGCTCCTATATACCACTCAGAGTTGTCAAATGGAGTATATACTGTTTATATATTTTTAAATGAGCCCCAACTTTAAAGAAATTCAATGTCACAGTGAAGCCAAGTTTCCTGAAAAATAGCAGTATTTGTATTTTTTCTCTCTAAACAGAAGCAGTCTTGTGGCCAGAGTTTCAGGTCTCAACCCACACTTTGAAAACAGGAGATCCAGTAGCATAATCTGCCTAAGCCCCTTTTTCATCTGCTTTCAGACTGGCCTGTTTGAGGAAGAAGGAGAAAAAAAATAAGGATAAAGAGAAAAAAGAAAAGGGAAGTTGGATGGAGATCAGCTCTGCATTTCATTCAGGTGGGATCAGCAACTTGAGAGGAGAGGAGAGGAGAGGAGAGGAGAGGAGAGGAGAGGAGAGGAAAAAGGAAGAATAACTGAAAACAAAGGAAAGGAGCAGAGTGGAAAAGACTAGTTAAAGTAAAAGTAAAGAGGCAGAGAAGAGCGAGGAGCAAAGTATAGAAAAGGCCAGGAGAAGGAAACAAGAAAAAGTAAAGAGACAGAAGACGAGAGGCTCCTTATATGGTGCTGAATACAGAGAGCGAGAGCTTACATGTTGACAACAAATCAGGATGGAGTAATGGATGAGGAGCGACTGTGCTGCTCTCTAAAATTAGAAAGCAGTGAGGGTTGGACGGGGGAAGCAAGCCCCGCTAACTTCTTTTATTTCACTGAGGCCCCGAGAAAAAGAGCAGATGGAGACGGTTTCCCTTTGAGCAGTTCAACCCTGACCTGTTGGTTTTAACCTTCATTCCCATGTCACCCTATAAGTTGTTGACCATACGAACAAATGGAAATGAACACTGCTTCAGTAATTTGTGGGGGTCTCTGCACTCTACAGGCGCACTCATACACTGAGAATTAACAACTGGATACCCATGAAAGATCACCATTAAATACCATCAAAGACTTGAACCATATCTGTCTGTGGAATGTGCAAATACTGTATACCCTGACGTTACTCCAGTGTTGCTGTTGTTGTAAATAATCTCATGTTTATGGAATGAGAAGTGTCACTCATCACTGAAAAACATATAAGATCAAACTACACAACCAAGAGTATCGGCCCAGCATGCAGGGAGTCATGCTGGTACAATGCAAAAGGATCCATTCCATCAAGTTGCAACGTAGTCACTGTGATTTTCTCCCACATATCAACATCTGTCGGTAACATACACATCCTAACAAAGTCCTGCACACTGTTCTCACATTCAGAAATCCATAGTTACGTGTATATATAAGAACCCATATTTAGATTTGTTTGGAAATGATGTAATGGCACAGGAGTAGAATTTTTCAGCCAAGATAAATGTAGTTCCCGTTTGGAATATTTTAGGATTGTATGGTAACGTGTTAGGCAGTAACAAGGTTACTCAGGGCCGGTGCAGTGCTGCGAGCTGAGCTGAGCTTAGCAACAAGCAGGAAGCACAGACGTTTGTCACAGGAAGTACAAATGGGACAGGAAGTAGAACTTACTGGTTATGCCAGGAGTTAAAGCAGGGAAAGGCTCTGCAAAAAAGAGAGAAGAAGAGAAATGTTACTGATGATGGTTAGTAACTGATATGGATGATAGATAGATAGCGGTGACGGACCAGCAGCTTGTCATATCAGTAGGATGGGGTAAGGGCCGCTCTTATAAGAGCACTGACAGAACCACTATAATATAAATCTCATTAGTTTGATAAAAGTTTAGGTGATTCAGTCTCAAAGAAGGAGTTTCAATTGGCCACAGACTGACCTGCACTAAACCAAAAGGATCAGATGTGAGCATGAGTAATGTGTAGGCCTTATCTATTTATTCAATTCCAGAGTAGCCATTTAATACAGAGCCAAATATATCATCTTTGGGGTTAGCTCAGTGTACCGTGGCATAACGTGATGACTGAATTGACATGATAGAACTGTATTTCTACTGATTCTTAACAGAAATACATGTCGTACTTTTGGCAGAGGCACTTTTTGCCTCCTTAAGGAGTAACAGAGAGTAACAAGTGTCTTTAGCATAGGAGCCTAAAGGCACATAAATCTTCTTGGATGACATTTATTTTTACAAAATGGAGAAGAAATAAAGAGGGGAAGACAAAAGAGTAGGCTGACAGGTTTTGAAGATGTTCCCCAATGTCTCTCTCTCTCTCTCTCTGTCTGTTATTTCTCGCTCTTTCTTCCTTCCCTCTTTTTGCTTTGTCATATTGTCTTACTCTCCTCCATGTCATTGCTCTCTACCTTATTGTCTCTCTGGCATCATACTTTTTCTCTCTTCACCTTCGGTTAGACGCAAGGTGTTAATAACAGCAGACATGCTGGGTAGAATGGCCAGAGGAGGAGGATGGATGGATGGAAGATGGGGTGAAAAAAAAAGAGGGACAGGGTGAAGAGAAGGAAAATAGGGGAATGGAGAGGAAGGGTGGAGGTAAGTTAAAGGGTCATGGGAACTGGAACTGAAATTTACTGCTGTTTATTATTTGCCGGAGGATGTGACATCTATTATGAAAGTGATAGGGAGAGAAAAATCAGGGGAGCACACGTATCACAGTGGCAGCAGTGAACTGAGAGAACATGGCGGGAAAAAAAAAATAAAGATAGAGAAATAAAGATAAAGACTGAGGGTGTGTATGATGGAACAATAAAAAAAACTGTAGCTTCTCTCATATTGGATGATTATTATAATATTTAACTTTATGCAATAGTGAGAAGCAGAAATGGGCATCTGAGACGTCATAGAAGACCCTCAGAAACGTGTGTGTCAAACATAATATATTCATAATATTCTATAAAACCCTTTCATCAGTTACAGCTAACACACAGTCACAATGGTGTTTGTCAAACAAGGAAATGAGAAATGGAATTGAAATGTGTCTGGTCTGTGTGTTTCAAGTTAATGACAAAACAACCATAACCAGTAGTTAGTGATAGTAGCCTCGTTGGTCAGCTTGTGTCTGTGTGTATGTCAGAGCAAGAGAGACAGACAGACAGATAGAGTCTCTCAAGCACTTAATTACAGCACATCTACATTTTTTTTCTTATTGCTTCTTCTTAATGACTGAGACTGAATGGAAGACGATGGAAGAAGTGAGAGAGAGGGAGACAGAGAGAACGGCAGGGTGGTTGGTACAGGAAAAGACTGTAGGAGATAGAGAGACGGCGATATAATGAAAGATAGATTAGAATCCATGCCCAAAGGCCGTTTGTGGCCTACTTTCTTTTTTTTTTTTTTATATAATTTTTTCTTTTTCTTTTTTTTTTTTCTTTTTAGTGTGTGTAAACGAGAAACTGTTTTTCCCCCTTCTCTCCCTCTCATCTGGTCTCTGGTGAAAACACAGCATAAATAGTCTGGTGTGAAGGAGTGAGGGAATTAGATGGAGAGACAGACTGGCACTGACATTAATAAATGGTCAGACAGGTAAACACACGGGCTGTGGGACTTACGTGTACACTGCTCCAGCTCGATGCTGTTGCTCATGTGGATGTTATCGATTCGGATGTGGCCTCTGGTCGGGTGATCAAAGAAACCTTCGAACACCACCTAGACGGGAGAAGGAGAGGAGAGGTAGACAGACATATCACATTAGCTTCTGTCTTTAAAACACACAGTGGTTGATGAGCAAGTGACTGTTTTCCCTGCAAGTCCCTTCAGAAACAACACTTACCTGATACTCTTTGGGGCTCTGGGGCAGGATGGTGCGGCCCTCCCTCCAGTGGGGCCCCTGGTCTCCTTTAAGCACCCATAGCAGTGTCTCCTCCTGGTCGCTGTCTCTCAGCAGCACCCTCAGGCTCCCCTGCGCCTCCCCTTGGAGTTGGTAGTAGAAGAGGAGGCAGAGCGGGCCTCGCTCTGGCCCCACCTCAGGGCTCAGCAGCCGGGCTCGCTTGCGCTGGGTGTGGCCGCCTGCATCCAGGTGGAGGTAGTTCCCTGAGAAATCTGGCGGAAAGGAAGAAACGGAGTCACTGTGAGATCATTGCAAATGATAAATTAGTGTAACCTTTAAACTGATACAATCACAGGTCATAGGGAGGTAAATATGATGCAACATGTACGGCTTTCTGCATGCTGGTTGCATTTGATTCATTTAATGGATTCCACTTTAAAGAATTTTATCATTTGTGACCGTGCTGCTGCAGGGAGCAGACTCACTGCTCGCCGGTGGAACAGGCTCAGCGTACAGTATGATGTAGTAATGCAGTGGGATGTGGTTGGTTAGAGTTTAAAGCATTACCACCATCATTCTGTGGCACGAGGCTTAACCGCAAATGAGACTGCCATTTCATCATGGCTGCTAATGGATGCAGATTAACACACACACACACATATATACACACACAAACGCACGTGCACACACAACTCTGTGAAACAGCCCTAATCACTCTGAATGCTGACACCTCGTTCTGTTGGTCTCATAGTGATACAGTCACAAAACTTGTGCCTTCCTCTCACACACATTCACTCTATCATTTCTTTTTTAACATCACATTCACTTCCTTTCTCTCCTCTCAGCCTAAAGAACGGATAAAAACATGGTCAGAGAGCAAAGGAGGTAAAGAGAAAGGAGGGGTGAGTGAGTGAAAGAGTGAGCAAACATGACATAAAGTATATGAGAGAGAGAGAGAGGGAGAGAGAGCGAGAAAGAGAGGAAGAAGGGCAGCATTATAGTGTTTTCCCCTACCCCGAACAGCACCATAATCATTAGCTTGCTGCTGTGTTTGGCTGTTTGTCTAGTTTGTCTATTACGGCCAGAGAGTTAAAGCTTCGCTGGAGCTGCAAATAGTCTTTTTATCGACAGACAGACACTGTGTGTGACACCTCATAAGGAGAGTGAGAGAGAAACGGGGAAGACATGGGGAGCAGAGAAGACACAAAAGAAAAACACAAAAGCAAATACAGAGTGTAGGTTAAGAATCAGGGAAAAAACAGAACAAAAATATCTATCTGTCTATCTATCTATCTATCTATCTATCTATCTATCTATCTATCTATCTATCTATCTATCTATCTATCTATCTATCTATCTATCCATCTATCCATCTATCCATCCATCTTAGTTAAAGCAGGAAAAAAAAAAAACCTTCGACAGAATTTGCCGCACATCACAGTTAATGAATAATGGATTTAGGTTGAGGTAACTCTGTTTCTTCACTTGCAGGCAATGAAAACAGGGACCTAAATTACCGTTGCTCATTAAGTACAGTTAGAGAAAGTTGCAGTGTTTTTCTGTCTCTCTGCGTTTGATCTTGGCGAACGTACAAAGGGAGGGAATTAATTAACAACTCTCCATGGGAGGGATAGGCAGGGATGTAGAATTGGCTCTGAGGGAGGGAGGGAAATGTGTATATGTCTGTGCGCGCGCATGTGTGTGGTGTGTGTGTGTGTTAGTGTCTGTTTGCATGAGTGTTAATGCATTTGTAGGCATCTTTGTTTATGTTTATATCTGCGCGTGTGCGCGAGTTCATCTGTCAGTCATTCTGCGTGTGCGTATTTTTTAAGTGCCTTGTGTGTATGTTTGAGTTAGTCATTCTGCATTTTATGTAGATATGTGCAGTTTTATTTGTGTGTGTGTGTGTGTGTGTGTGTGAGCATCCTTCCCAAGTATGGAGGTAAACTATATGTCTCTATGTGTGTCTATGCATCTTCAGTTTTCACACTGAGTTGAGTGGCAGAGGTGAGAAAAAGGTAAAAAGGGGGAAGTAATGCTTATACATGTATCAAACTGATTCCCGACATTCTTCATTCTTAACCACCACAAAAAGTATAAAGTCCAAAAACATATGTTTCATATAGAAACATATCTGCTGTCTGGATGATTATGTTCACTGTACAAGACTTTTGACTTCAGAGAGAGGGGTTTGTATCATGGGTCCTTTGAGGGGTTGGGTTTACGCTACTAAAACACTAAAGTTACATTAAGGGAGACATCATAACCTAACCAACCATATGAGCTGCCTAAACATGACTATAAACACACACATCATGCTTAGGTTGCAATGAGTAGTTTTTTTATATACATCAAATACAATTAGCTGGTAAAAAAAAATGAATGAATGTCCTGGACCAGTTTGTGTTCACCCCACAAAGTTGCCTCTGAAGTGTGCTGAGACAAACTTTAAGCAGCAATTCTAGCAGTGAACCAAACAGGCAGAACGTACCAGGGTGCATTTGAACCAACTACTTGTCAGAATTAATACAGTTTATGTGATTAAATCTTCACTTTTCAAATGTTGTATTTCATATTTCAGCATACATTGTTGAAAACTGGCGAAAGCTTTGGTTCAGGTGTGAAAAGGAGCGAAACCATATGCAAAATACGATCACGGCGATATCTGACTTTATGGTTTCTGTCTTGTACCTCATTGATAGATTATGGATCACATGAAGACAGCTAAGAGCAATAGCATCAGATGTTAAAAAACTGATATTATACTGCAAATTTCTTTCTATCGTCTTTCAGTCTCTCCTTATTCCTCACTTCCCCTCCTTATCAATAACTGAACCACTGCCAACAAGTGCAAAGAGTTTCCTTCGATGGAAAACCTCCACAGGGTAAAGGATTTCAGTCTTGCCCTATCTGAGATCAAAAGAATAACTTATGAGCTGTGTTTGGGTCGGATTTTCTCTTTTAAAACCCTAAAAGGGCCCTTTCAGTAACGAGCGCTGGGGATTTGATTTGCATTTGGAGACAGCTTCCAGACAGGGTGCCGCACTAATGTTGCTGTAAAACAAGACTTAATGTCATGTTGCTGTCTAACACTGAGACAGGGACGCTGCTAAGTCAATTACACACACTCAAACACGCGCAGACACGCACTCACACACTTGCGTGCAGTACACGAATGTGTTTGCGGGCGCACACACATCACACACTCATGCAGCAGTGTGATGTAGAGCCTCGCCTTATGTCACAGCCCTGTCTGTTTATGAAGGAGCTGCTCAGTCAACCATAAACAGGAAGGCTTCAATACATACAGAGAAAACCTTGGTGGATGGCAAGGTCAGGTGTGTGTGTGTGTGTGTGCGTGTGCGTGTGCGGGAGACAAACCCACACACCAAGTGTTTAATACGCGGACAGTCCCACCTTGAGTGATGTGTGTAGGATGTGTGTGTGTGTGGAGCCTCGGGGAGAGCAAGAGAGCTAAGGCAGCACTTCTGTCAAAACCATCATCTGACATATCTGACCGCTTTGGGCTATGTGTGTGTGTGTATGTGTGTGTGTGTGTGTGTGTGTGTGTGTGTGCCTTATGGGTGTGTAAGTACAGTACAGAAAGTATGTATGTGTGTGTGTGTGAAAGAGAGGGAGCAGCGTGGAGAGGTAGGTGAGTCAGTGAATGTGCGTGTGTGTGTGTGTAATGGATAAAACAGTCTCGGTTATCCTCCTGCTGTCTTATTAAAGATGGACAGATGTGGGAAAAGGCACCGGAGGAAACGGGGGAGAGGTCGGTGAGGAGAGAAAGAGGTGATCACAGTGATGGAGTTAGAGGGTGGAAGTGGAAAGAGAGATGGAAACACAGAAGTCATACACTGTAGTGTGAGTTAGATGTGAAAAAGAGAGGGATAATGATGAAATGAAACGGTAAAGCCCTACCACGCTTTCTCAACAAGGAGAAGCGAGATGATGAAGACAGAGAGCAGAGAGACATTTGTAGTGACATTAGAGGAAAATAAAATGTAGGATAAAGTAAAAGAAAAGAAGACAGAGAAAGAGGCTGAAGTAAGGTGATTACAGTCTACAAAGGAACAAGCAAAAGTTGCTACAACCGTGAACAAAATACAGATATGAACTGTGGAGAAGTAACACTCCAAGAAGACACCTAAAAGTTGCAGATAAAAAAAAAAGGAGGCTGAAGAAGAGAAAAAGAAGAAAAACACAGAGATGAGACAATAAAGTAACAAACTAGGTTAGGGAAACTGAAACTGTTAAACCTCACATTGAAAAAAAAAACCCTCCAATTAAGTCGTCGTACACACTTTTAGCAGATCAGAGTGAAATCCTTGCATCATAGTTGCTGTCAGTGGTTCCTCCCAGCACTGGGATCTGTAATATACCACCACAGGACAACTGCTTTGCTCTTAATTAGCTCGAGAAGGCTTTGTGCTGAGGGAGGTCAAACATCTCAACATGACGATGCTTTCTTTTCTGTGTTTGAAAAATGAGAAATGTCCTGAAATGAAGAACGCTCCGAATGACGAGAGCTGACTTTTTGGGGTTCTGATGTGCGCGCGCGCGCACACACACACACACACACACACACACACACACACACACACACACACACACACACACACACAGCACACACACACACACAGTATTCTGAAAATATGAATGTTTAATTAGAGGAGAAGACCTGCCCAGAGAACCATGGATTCTCACACAATGGAGATGAGCAGTGTTTGAAATGATCTAAAGAATGGTTGACAGAGTTTGGATCGGGAGGTTTGTACAGTGTGGCTGCATGAAAAGAAACTGTCCCTTTAATAGCTCGTTGGTAAGATGGCTTCTACAACAACAAACATCTTCATGTCTTTATAATAATGTTATTTTGTCATTCAGATATGACATGTTTCAAACATGCTTTCAATACAGATCCTAAACTCTCTCATGCTGCATTTGTGTTTTCAATGACGCATCATTTGGGGAGTGAAGCAGTCATGATGTGTGGGCAGTGACTGTCAAGTTATTACAATACAGCACTTGATGCTGATAGTGCATTAGTACAGCGTTCAGTGAAGGAGCAGACTACTGACTGACCCGAGCCTCGCTCACATAGTTGAAAAAGAAGAAAACAACGATTTTTCAGGCTATTTTCTTATATGTATTGTCTGCTGTGTATGTTCTTGTAACTCTAATCGTAAACTCAAATATCAGTGATTCTCAAAGTGGGGTCCAGGGACCCACAGGGGGCCATGAGGGAGTACTTGGTGGTCCCCAGCCAAAAGGGGAATAATTTTTTTCGCAATAATTCCATCCATAAGTAACACAATGACAGAATTTA